ATATTTGGGTCTGAGTAAAATATTTAGATAGCAAATTAAATATTTAGTTTAGGAATTAAATGTTTTGCTTAGAAATGAAATGTTTAGCTTGGAAATTAGATATTTAGCTTGAACAATAAATATTTAGTTTTGTAAATTCAATTTTTAGTTTTGAAAATAAATATTTAGCTCGGAAATTAAATATTCAATTTACACCTACATATTTAGTTTACCAAGTATTTAGTTTGTAAACTAAATATTTAGATTGTAAATTAAATATTTAATTTGGAAATATGACATTCACACATGTATGAATAACATGGTGAAATATGACTAAAAAAAATTAATTTCTTATTAAAGGCTAAATAAACCAAAATATTGCTGTTAATTTCTGACTGTGTTTCTTTACAAATGGCACCCCATAAATTACAATCTTTGATAAGACAAAGCAAAAAAGAAATTTGATTAATATAAGTTATAGAAGCCTGAAAGTGGTGTCTAACTGGAGGTTTGGTGGTGCCACACTCACAAATGAAGACCCTAAATCCTGCAGTTTTGGAGATACTTAAAAACCTCCTAAAAATAGTCATCAGTCTTTAAGCAGCAGCAGAGCTGAGCAACAGCTAGCCACCTGGTCAAGCTCAAGCCCAAGCTCCTCCACCAACTACCAGGTCCAGCTGAGCAGAGTCAACCCAGGCCCCTCCATGCGACACCAGGCCCACCTCCAGGGTAAGTTCAGGCTCCATCACCAGGAAGGACATCCTGGAGGACTGATGTTAGAAAGTGGGTGCAAACGGCCGTTGCTGGTGTTGAATGAACCAGAGGAGCTGGTATTGCTGCAGCCTCTACAAACTCATTACGTCCTTAAACAGGTTGGTACTCCCGTGTCTGCTGACAAGCACACATTTTCTTCTTAGCATCGTTTTCAGTTCAGCTAGTCTAATGCTAAAATTCACAAGAGCGAACACTTGACTTACCTTGCACTTGAGACCAGAGCTTACACCTGAGGACAAAACTATGGCAAAGTGTTGTGCAAGTTCACTCTTACCAGAACAAGTTTAAAGTTTGAGGAGAACACCCTTGTCATGAAGAGGCTGCCTCAGAGAAGGACACGGACATGGCGTCTCTAGCAACTCAGGGATCTTTAAGCAAGTAAAAAGGAGAAACCCAAAGAACTCCAGTTGCTCTCTGGACGTTCCAGTTTGTTGTTCTGCTGCACAGTCTGGGCCTCCCCAGCTATTTCCCAAGCTCTCAACTAAGACTTTCCTTGTGTCCCACAGTGGTGGTACTTTGGACTTGGCTCTACTTCCCAGGGATATTTCATCTTATCGGATCACTAAAATTGCAGAACCTTCTCCCACTCATGCATTTAATCTTGTCATCCTGATAACTTATATTGTTGGAGACTGCCTCAAGGCAGCCATATTCTTATCCACCTGAGAAGGGTCTTGCTCTTCTAT